CGATAGAGCGACCAACAATAACGGGAGACGACTTTGCGGCCATCTCGAAAATAGACCAAACACCTACGTGATCGGACCAACAGAACCGACCTGTTTTCACGGACAACTCCCTACACATCTAGACATTGCAATCCTACACAACGTGGGTCAACAATACGAGATACGCTCTCTAAACGAAGGCGATTCGACGCACAATCTAATCGTTTTGACCCTGGGCGCAATAGAACTAAACTATTCGCAGCCCCACAAAAGAAAGATAACAAGTTGGCCAAACTTTAGAAGAATTGTGAGCGAAAACATCGGTAACATTCCAACAATAAACAACATCACAGAACTAGAAGACAGCGTAACCAAACTAGAAGAAACTATAATTAATGCTATCGATGCCAGCTCCAAAACCGAAACAATCACAAGACAAAAAGGAAGATTCGGAGATATAAGTCAGGATCTACAAGACTTAATTAAAGAAAAAAACAGAAAAAGAAGAAGAGCCTATCGTACTAGAACATTAGAAGATAAAAGGATTGCAAATGAGCTAGACAGGGAAGTTAAAAGACAACTACGAAATCACAGAAATGAAAGCTGGGACAACTATATCCAAGAATTAGACCCTAACAAATCCGCCTTCTGGAAATTATCGAAAATCCTCCGACAGGACAAGAAACCCATACCTCCCTTACATGGAGTAAACGGGATTGTCCACACGGAAATAGACAAAGCTGAAGTCCTAAAGGACGAACTAGAAAGGGCATGTAGAAATAACGAAAATCCCAATGAAGACATAGACTTTGAAGAAGAGGTAGAAAGAACAGCCAGAAGACTAAAGAGAAGAAAGGGCAGAGTAGGAATAACACATACATCTCCCGAAGAAATAAAAGAGCTAATAAAACTAACAAACGCCAAAAAAGCCCCAGGACCTGACAACATCACAAACAGGGCACTAAAAAATCTACCCAACAAAGCTACTGTCTACATAACGAACATTGTAAACAACATGCTCAAACTAAGATATTTTCCAGATAGATGGAAGGAGGCACAAATTATCATGATTAAAAAACCAGGGAAGGATGGCATTTTTCCGCAAAATTACAGACCTATCAGCCTACTATCATCAATAAGCAAGATAGCGGAAAGAGTTATATTAAAAAGACTCAACGACGAATCGGAAGCACTAGGCATCATACCAGAAGCTCAATTTGGATTCAGAAGCGAACATTCATGCGAACTACAAGTTCTACGTTTTACTGAATTTACAACAAAAGGCTATAACGAAAAAATGTATACGGCAACAGCATTTCTGGACGTCAGTAAAGCATTTGACAGGGTCTGGCATGACGGACTCATTTACAAAATGAACTCTATGGGATACAGCGAGGCGATGACATGCCTCCTTGGATCATACCTAGCCAACAGAAGGTTCAGGGTTCGAACGGGGGCAACTCTGTCCGAAGTCGGGACCCTGGAAGCAGGTGTGCCTCAGGGAGCTGTTCTGTCGCCTTACCTGTATACCATCTATACGGCCGACACGCCAAAAGAACCAGGTTCCCTGTTGAGTCTTTACGCCGACGACACAGCAATAGCTGTTAGCTGGAGAAATCCAGATCATGCAGCTAATCATCTGCAGAGAGCACTTAATAGATTCGAAAGATGGTGCATCAAATGGAAAATAGCCTTAAACCCGGATAAAACACAGGCTGTAATGTTTAGTCACAGAAGAAGTGTACCGAACCGAGAACTAATGATTGGGAACACCCCAGTAGAATGGACAAACGAGGCCAAATACCTAGGAGTGTTACTAGACAAAAAACTCACATTTACGCAGCACATAAATCAGCAAACGTATAGAGCCAAAGCGCTGAAAAATCAGCTCTCAACGCTTATTGGTAGAAGAAGTAAGCTAAGGTTTAAAACCAAAATCAGGATTGCGAATAGTATTATCCTGCCAGTCCTTTCGTATGCCTCTGCTGCGTGGGGACACACCTGTAAAACAAACAGGAAAAAAATACAAACAGCACAAAATCAACTAATAAGAGATGCCCTGAACTTACCGAGATATGTACCTCTGAGAAATTTATACAGAGACTCAGGACAAACAAGGATCCTTCACACAATGGACAAAAAGGCATACGAACTATTCAACGGACTAAACAACCACCCAAGTAGCATGTTAAGAGAGCTGACTAACTACAACGCAAATACCAGGACGGTACACAGAAGACCTAAACAGCAAATAGCCGGATATAGGGTCCCCAACGAATAAATGAAGAATGAGATGGTCGCAATGACGTCAAATAAAAGAATGCAGTCATCAGAAAAACAACCACCAAAAAAATATCTATTTTTAGGACTCTGGCGAGAGGATACAGGTGCCAAGGCACTTAGTTAAGGACAATATACACCGGGGTGTGTGGAGGCCATATACACCCTGCAATGCACACCCCAACACACCCACACAAATTAGCATGTAAGAATAAAAGGGTAAGAATTGTGCCGGCATTTTATAGTCCCAACGCCAAGGAAGACCCCCAAACCCAAAAAAAAAAAAAAAAAAAAAAAAAAAAAAAAAAAAAAAAAATCGGTTGTTTTTCTTTTAAATTCAGAACTTCAAAAATCAATTTCAATTCATTAAACGTTTTAAACGTAAAATTCATCCTATTTTTCTATATAGAAGGCCCGTCAGGCCTTCTATATACCGCTGATGCGGATTAGGCCCTTAAGGCGGATCAAATGAATGCTGATCCTTTTCGCGACACCCGAGCACTGAGGTCATGTGCGGCAAGCATGGGCTCGGTGGCCGGACACACTTCGGGCGCCCAGCCGGCGAGGAGAACAAAATTTACTTTTGCCAAATCGGCGGCTGAGTGACCGAGCACACACTTTTTTCCGGACATGAAGTCGACAGCCCAGGCTGTCGGCTTCATGGACGGAACACACGCTCTTTTTCTTTTTTTTTTAGGGACTTCAGTCCCGAAGTGAAGTTAGAGTAAAATCTATAGAGTCAGTAAAGTAAATAGGGAGAAAAGCCTAGATGTGGCTACCCCTACAGTCAGGTGGCATAACCACAGTAATTAAAAACAGGAGGTGTCTCATTACCCAGGGCACCTCAAGTAACTTTCAGATCATAAGCCTCCTCACGTAAGTCACACGATGAGGAGGGGTGGTGGAAAAGCCTGGGGGTCAGATAGGTACCACTTCAACTAGTGAAGTGTGACCGGTTTGATCTTCGGACATGTGGATCCCATACTTAGTTTGGTATACACATGTTCCTAGGGGTAGGGTTGATCGCTTAGCGTGATTGTGTGTGTGTATTGTAATTTCAAACGAAATATGAGGGCTGTAAGTTGTTTAAGAGGTGAAAAAATTTTAAAGAAAAATCTCTATTTTTTGCATTTTTTTCCCAGTTATTGCTATTTGTTAAACAATAAATATTAATTGTTTAATTTATAGCTACTTGCTATTATGTAGATTCCCAAAACCAAACGATTGTATTGTATTTATTATTTTATGAAGTTTTGTAGAAGCAATATCTCTCGAATTATGGGCCAAAAAATATGGGTGCAAAAAGTAAACATTTTTTATTTTTTTCAGATTTTGTTCAATAAAAAATTAAGCCCAAAGTTTGTGGTTTGTGGCTTATCAATTATATATATGATAATTGATACAAGGTACAGTGCACCAAGCAAAAAAATAAGCGCCTATGAAAGTTGTCCATTATGGTCTACTTTGTCGACATATCCTGGCTCGACTATCTTTAATAAACTACATATCGCTTTTTTTGAAAGTCCGTCAGATGTCAAAATGTGACAGTGTGACAGTTAAAGCTTTACGTTTTAAAACATATCTGCGAACAGGCTAATATTTTGACTGCGTGTACTAGCCTCTAAATTCTATACGACTTTAGTCATATTTTAGTCCATAAAATTTTAGTTGTGAAGTTTTTTTTTTAATTGTGTTCGGTGTTTGGAAATAATTCACTTCGGTTTTAGACATTGTTTTACGTATTGTCTACAAATGTATATTTTTTAAATAAAAAAAGAACAAAAACACTATAGTGTAAAAACTAAAAAGTTATATAATAAAAATACAAATAAAAGTTAATAATTTTTTAAAACATTACTCACACCGCTCAAAAGAATACTACAACCCATTTTAAATATAACGTTAACTTCTTTACAAAACTGACACAACTCAATATATTGCATTATTCTTTATAGAACGTATTGTATTATGTTGTTGTGTTTTTAAAAAGAACGGCATATCTTAAAATATGACAGTATTGCAAAATGCCAAACTAATTTTTTTGTTTATCTTATTAATAATGACAATTCTACCATCTAACGGCCATAATATGCATAATAGCATAATAACGTCATAACTTTATGACGTAATCATATAAAAAATATACAATATAATTTAAAAACTGTTGAGTAACGTAGTTTGTTTCTCACTTTTTTTTGAGATATGACGGTCTTCTTTCCAGGTAGCGATTAGAATAATTTTATACTTTGAAGTTACAATTAATATTAGCTACGAATCTGTGTGCTTGGTTGTATACTCTATAAATTTCAACTACCAGTCGATGATAATAGTTCATCAGATAACGTACGACCTGAATAATTATTAAATTTACTAGTTAGTTGGATTGACTGAGTTTACTGAATACAATATACTTGGTTAAAGCTTTCAGAGGTCTTATAAACTTGTTTCTAGGTATATTTACGTTTCACGTATATTGATTTAGCTGATTATATTCTGTCATTTACTTCTGGTATTAAATCTCTGTGGAGTTTATTTTATTTATATCTTTACTTCGTATTTTTAAAACAATCTCTTTTCTGTTTCTCATGTACTAATTTATAGATACGGAATTTATCACCTTTAAATTATTTTTTTATGCTGCATTTGAATACTTAATTCTTCTGTTTATTATACAAAGTATAACCAATTTAAAAAGCATCTAATACCCATAGTAATGGAAATAAACTGAAAAAACAACTTACGTCATTTGGATCCAAATTTTTATTACTCCATATCATTAACCCCATTAAAACACCAAATGCGTTGTGTTCTTTCCATTCTCTTTTTAATTCACTAAATGGCAAAATTTTTTCTGCACTACATCCATACTCCTTGAGGGTCTCACTAAGACTTTCATAATAGATGTCAAGGAAATGATCCAAGTTAGATATGGTTTCTTCGTCAGCTCCTGAGTAGAAACTGTATGTCAGATCCAAAACAGGTGAACCTACCGCAGCCATTTGGAAGTCGAACAATTTAATATCTTCTATATCACCCGACTTCTAAGAAAATGAATCATACATTATATTACTTTAATTAAATGTTAATTAATATGTAAGCTTAGCAATTCATACATTTGCTATGTAATGTATCACTATTTATCAGATGGCCAATAATGTAAAAAAATAGTAAAATCTAAATATAAATAAACAAGCTAAAGTTGTCAAAATCGGAGATTGACAAAGGCCATGTCGTAGATATATCCCAGAAGATACGGAGTAATAACAATGAATATTCTTATAAAACATATAATGATCTAAATCAAAATTTTCAGAGTATAAGCGGTTTTGTTTCTAATGCATCATTTATATATATTACAATAAGTGCAAGTTCTCAAGTTTTCGTCCTTTGATAGTTAATATTATTGCCGCTTTATTTTCTATCCTTCTATAATAGTTACTTTCCAGTTTAACACACTATGAATCAATGATATTCGTAGAATTTTATTATCCATATTTCCAAGTATTTGTAGATATCCACATTCTTTGCAGTATCTTCAATAATCAATTGGACTAAATCATCTGCTGATTTAGTCATGATCATGCAATAACTTTTCTTCAAATTTATGTTCAGCCGATATTTATAACTGTATCACCTGCAAAACGTAAGTTATTCTAAATTTTCCCATGGATAAATATATCCTACCTCTACCTTTCTGTAGTTTGATACCTGAGGTATTCTGGTTGTCAACTCCTATCTTGTTAGTTTGATAACAATATAGATTAGATATAATTTTCATAACACGACTATCAGTATATCTACAAGTTGTATATGTTGAATCATAACAAATGCCCTTTCAAAGTCTACTAAACATGAGTAATGTCTTAATTTATGTTGATGCATCTCTGGTCGGCAATCATCATAGCTATTCAGACTTTTGAGACGGCTGCTCTGAAAAGTTCATTTGATCTACATCCGTACCACTCTCTCAGGTTGCGCAGCCATGACATTCTACGCCTCCTCTATGCTTCTCTTTCCTTGGATCTTTCCCTGCATAATCATTTGGAGCAAGGTATATTTCTCTCCACGTGTAAGATGTCCGAGATAATCCAATTTTTTGTTTTAATTATATTTAAAATTTTTATTTCTCTATTCATCCTGTCTCAAACCCTCTTTGTGATGTTCTGTCCACAATATTTTCAGAATTATTCTCTACACCCACAGCTCGAATGATTCCAGTTTTTTTCATTGATGTCGCATTGAATCGGTTCAAGATTCCATTCCATAAAACAAAGTCTAAAAAACTTAGCACCTCGCCAACCTAACTCTTAGTTCCAATTTTAAATCCCTTGTACATAGTACTCTTCTCATTTTGTTGAAATCTGCTCTGGAATTTCCTATTCTGATTTTGATCTTCTGAATGTAACCATTTGTGGAGTTAATCATTGCTCCCAAATATGCATATTTATCCACTTGTTTGACGTTGGTTCCGTTTATTAAAATATTCTCTTTATTTCTTTGAGTTTTGATATTTTCATAAATTTAGTTTTCTTGACTTTTATTGTTAGACCGTACTCTTTTTCTATATCCGCTATTCTGGGCACATGTTCTGAAGATCTTCAATATTTTCGGCTAAGATCACAGTGTCGTCCGCATATTTAATGTTATTAATGGGAGCTCTATCTACCTTTATTCCAGCTGTTTCACGCTCAAGAGCGTTTTCAGGATCTCTTCGGAGTAGGTATTAAAACGAAGTGGCGACAACACACGAAAGCTATAATACCTGGGGCATATTATGCGTAATGAGAGATACAACCTACTTCAATTGATTATACAAGGAAAATCCAGGGCAAGAGAAGTGTAGGAAGAAGAAGAATCTCATGGTTGCGTAACTTGAAGGAATGGTACGGATGCACACCAATTTAACTATTCAGAGCAGCAGCATCTAAGATCAGAATAGCCATAATGATTGCCAACCTCCGTCGCGGAGATGGCACGTGAAGAAGAAGGCGACAATATGCATCTGTGTCTTACTCCACGTCTAATTTCAATTTTTTCTGACAGCTTTTCGTTAACACGTACTTTTACTCGCTGTTTATAGTATAAATTTGATATGATCCTGAGGTCGTTGTAGCTAATCTTCTTTGATTTCAGGACATTCATTAATTGTTTATATCGTACTTTATCGAATGCTTTAATATAGTCAATAAATCATGCGTATATATCTTGATTGACGTCCAGGCATCTTTGTATCTAGTATATTAAGTGAAAAAAGAGCTTCACGCGTTCCTAGGCCTTTGCGAAAATCAAATTGAGTATCATTAACGTCTATGTTCAGTTTGTGATATATTCGGTTATGGATGACTTTTAGTAGTATCACAGCCAAAGCAAAATTGTGTATCAATAATTTCATATTTAAGAACTTTAACGATTCTGCTGTGCATTATTTTTAAAAATGTTGTGTGTGACTAACTAAAGCTATTGATCTGTGGTCTGAGCAAGTTGTTGCACCTGACTTTTGAATATTACGACAAAGATCGATTTGAAGAATTGTCTGGGAATCGTGGCAGTATGATATAAAACATTAAAGAGTTTAACTATTACAATAATAATATCTTCATAAATGAGTTTAAATAATTCGAAGGGTACCTCATGTACTTCAGTTGCTTTGTTATCTTTTATTTTTTGATGCCATAGATAACTTTTTCTTGATGATATTGGTGGTCTAGTATCTTTTATGCTTTACAAAGATTGCTTCTGCTTTCTACTACTTGTGTTGCCTCAATAACCAGTCCATAGTCTACCAGGATACCAATGGTTCTTTATTTCCTTATCCTATTGAGTAAAAGTACCTTAAATCCCTAATTTATGAGTGTACTTACTAGGTTGGGCAAATGTCTTTTGATCTCTGGCTGGCCTAGAAACTTTTATAAAACTTTCTAATTTCTAATAATGATGGATTCGACCGTTACTTGATGGAAATTCATTTTATGTAACAATAAAACACTGAAAACTTTGTTTTCAAACTTCCACAAAATTTATTTTAACTATTATCACTACAGCTGTTTCGGCTGATTGCCTTTCTCAAGTGATCTATTTTTGGCATGCGTTTACAATTTATAGTCTCTAATGAAATAGGTTGAGGAGGGGAGAACTGTTTGTCTCAAGTTGGTCATTCAGAATTATATCTGTGTTTTTTAATTTGTTGATTTCCATAGATTCTAACAAAGATAGCTTAAGGCCTTTATTTTGAATGTGAAGAATTTTAAATTTGTCATTAAAAGAATGATTATGATCTAGAAGGTGAAGTGCGTATGTCGAATCTGTTTTTCTATTATTGAAAGCCCTTTTATGTTCTGCTATTCGTTTATTAAAGTTTCTACCAGTTTGACCGATGTAAGTTTTTGGGCAGTCGCCACATTGAAGTTTGTACACACCACTATTTAAGTGTTTTTTATTTTGGCTCTTGTTATTTTTAATATATTTGCCTAGGTTGTTATTTGTTCGGAAAGCTGGTGTTATTCCTTTCTTTTTTATGTGTTTGGCTATTTTTGTTGTTATTTTGCCTGTATATGTAATCGAGCAGAAGGTACTGGGTTTTTTCTCTGGTGGTGGAAATACTAATTTCAGGGCTTTCTTGTGTAGTTTTTGATTTAACATTTTATTAATTGTTTGTTCGTTGTATCCGTTGTTTACTGCTATTTGCTTAATTATATTTAATTCTGTCTCAAAGTTGTATTTTGACATCGGAATTTCTGTTAATCTATGTAACATACTATGATAAGTTGCCAGTTTATGTTGTGTTGGATGGGATGATGAATTGTGTATAGTCGTGTCAGTATGTGTAGGTTTATGAAATATGGAGAAGTCATGTTTGTTTTTAAGTCTGATAATATTTATATCTAAAAAATTTTTGGATTGATTTTGTTCTGTTTCTATTGTAAATTCAATATGACTATGAAGTGAATTAATATATATATATATATATATATATATATATATATATATATATATATATATTATATATATATATATATATATATATCTGTAAAGAATTAAATCTTTTAGCGAAAGCCGCTATCGCTTTATATATTAAATGGCCAACTATATGGCCTAGGAGACAAATTCGTTAAACTTCCCGTGCTCGAATTGGTATCACTAAAGTGTTATGATCATTTCGGCCTATCCCAGCCATCGTCAGACACTTGGGCTGATACAAATTCAAACTCGGAAAGTAAAACGAATGTCTCCCAAATCTTTACTACCGTGTAGTTAGCTTATAAAGGCGCCACCTACTTTGGAGGCCGTGAACGAAACGATATGAATAATCGTTTTCTGTATCCTTTATGCTATGCGAAATGTGTAAAGAATTAAATCTTTTAGCGAAAGCCGCTATCGCTTTATATATTAAATGGCCAACTATATGGCCTAGGAGACAAATTCGTTAAACTTCCCGTGCTCGAATTGGTATCACTAAAGTGTTATGATCATTTCGGCCTATCCCAGCCATCGTCAGACACTTGGGCTGATACAAATTCAAACTCGGAAAGTAAAACGAATGTCTCCCAAATCTTTACTACCGTGTAGTTAGCTCCTAGGCCATATAGTTGGCCATTTAATATATAAAGCGATAGCGGCTTTCGCTAAAAGATTTAATTCTTTACACATTTCGCATAGCAAAAAGGATACAGAAAACGATTATTCATATCGTTTCGTTCACGGCCTCCAAAGTAGGTGGCGCCTTTATAAGCTAACTACACGGTAGTAAAGATTTGGGAGACATTCGTTTTACTTTCCGAGTTTGAATTTGTATCAGCCCAAGTGTCTGACGATGGCTGGGATAGGCCGAAATGATCATAACACTTTAGTGATACCAATTCGAGCACGGGAAATTTAACGAATTTGTCTCCTAGGCCATATAGTTAGCCATTTAATATATATATATATATATATATATATATATATATATATATATATATATATATATACATATCCATATTCAATATGACTATGTTTCACAGGAACTGACAGGCAACTCAAATAATTCTTATCGTATATTAATTCAAGTTTGAAAACAAAGTTTTCAGTGTTTTATTATTACATTTCTAATTTCTTTTAGAATGCCCTGTTTATTTTTGTTATTTTTTCGTGTGTCTCTCAGCTTGTGTATTTCTACTTTTACTTTTCTGAGTTCTCTTTTGATTATCTTCCCAGATCTTCTTTACTTTCTGCAGAAATTCGTTTATGTAGTTGTCTTTTTGGTTTTCTTTATCTTTGTAGCTTAAGTTTCATTCCATTAACAGCAGTGTTGTTGTATTTCACCGGTGTAGGTAAGAAATAATGATATTGAGTAAGTACTTCTGATACATATTATACAACTTAGAGAATGATGACATTTACTGGAAAATCTAGATATTAGACAGTCTTAATTCTTTTTACAATACCGTATTTACAAATTTACTTACATTATATTTGAACATCATATTATTACTCCAACAGTCACCGTGGATAAAAACTGAATACGGACTTTTGTATTCAAGTGCACTGAGGAACATTTGAGAACCGTTATCAGAAAATTTTTTGAAGCTATCGAGAATTTTTATTTCATCTTCTTCTTCTAAAAATTCTTTTGTCCTGTTACAACAACTGCTAATTCCTCTTTGCATGAGACCTACAAAAGAAACACATAACAAGTGAAATAAAAAGTAAATTATTTTTTGTTAAAGTAGATGTAAAAAAATATGAATACTGCTATTTTTAAAACTATTAGTTTTTTACCCTTTTATATCCTGTAATGAAACATTTAATGGTCTACAGTCATTTAGTTTTATATTGTTTCTACAACTTTCTAGTCTGCTTTACATTGCCATTGGATTTCTATACTTAAGAATTTTGTCTTTTATATTACAAGGCTAAAGATTGGTTAATTCTAAGAATCATTACGAACGTTAATATAAAAAATGAGCAAATAATGAAAAGTCTCATAAACATTACTGGAAAAAGACATGCATTTACAAACATATGGACACCCAGAGGTGACCAACCAGTCAAAACCAAAAAAGAAGTTTTTAGCGAAGTGAGATCAGTGATTGACGAAATAGAAAATAAACGAAAGAAAATAGTACTGGGCAATTTTAACAGCCGGATTGCCAAAAAAGAATTATAATGACAAGATTATGACAAAATGGCTAAAATGAAGTCAGCGATAACGGCAAGAAACTCATTGGCAAATTTACACAATATGAACTCTAATAATAAACTACTAGACCGGCTACTAAATTTAAATTCCGATTATTGCCTACTTAATTTATTTTGAAAAGGCAACAATATATGTGTAGTGGATAGGAACTCCTTGGATTTCCTTGGACAGTCCTATCAGGAAAAATTAATCAGTCCCTGCCTTTCACAGATTCCAGGTGGTCCCTGAACCGGGGAACCAGTACCTGTTTAGGGTCCCTTGTTCAGGGTTACGGATGAAGACCACAACGGCAATCACGGCAGAGAAGAATACCTTCGGTACGACGAGAATGGCGAAAGTGGCGACCCCAGATTTTAGTGCTAGTATAAAGTCAATTTTGACCGAACGATCGCCGGTATAAGCGATTCCACTCACCTTACCAACGTCTCTGGATAGAGGGCGGATAAACATACGTGAGACAGGGCACTATTTTGTCCTTAGGATAGGAAACTGCCTCTAAAAGGCGGATAAACAAAGGATGTCAACGGCATAAGAATACGGAAGGCAATGGGAAACCACTGTATTAATGGTGCCCAAGGATATCCAAAGAGCTACAATATAAAAGAAAGATTTTTTAAAAAAGTTATTTCAAAAGTAAAAACTGGCGGAAAACTAATTTTTGGACCTTCCAGCAGTAATTTTGCATAAACCATTGGGTCAAATTTCATGTAGCATAGCTCAAATTCAACCTTTTTTATGTGTATATGTGTTACTATGTTTCATAATATAGTATTTATTTTACTCTAAAATGTTAATTTGATAAAATAAAAATAAACCCAAAAGTAATGAAAAACGCGTTTTTGCATCTTAAAAGTACCATAAAAGAATTATAGCCAACAGTTTGGAGTTGCACGTACTTGGAGTTTACTCTAGGTAATGCCTTTTATAACGCTGTGCTAGTTTCAAAAATTTACTAAATAATGCTCAAAATTATTTATTTAAATTACTATTTAAATGGTAATAAGCCACAATTAAAGGTTAAAGTACGTTTATTGACGTTTCAATTTCCACTTCGGAAATCGTTCTCAAAATACAAACATCAATTTACTAATGTTTGTATTTTGAGAACGATTTCCGAAGTGGAAATTGAAACGTCAATAAACGTACTTTAACCTTTAATTGTGGCTTATTCCCATTTATATAGTAATTAATTTAAAATGCCAAGAAAATAGCTTTAGAACAATATCATTTATTTTGATCCCTTTGGCTTGGACTATAACGTTTGAAATATAAACAAATAAAAGACTGCGTAGTTACATTCATTCAAGAGCCAGTCATTCATTTAAATTAAATAAATATGCATAATTTTACACCAGATTATACTTTATCAATGTTAGAAATATAAATTGTAATAATTGTTATAAAAAATATAACTTTTTATTTGAAGTGATTTTCATTTTTTGCTTTATTATTCAGACTTTTTACTTCTTTAATTCAGGATAAACAATTTTATACGTAAATATTCTTTAGTGACATAAATAGTCTTATTAACAAAAATATAATATATTAGGATCGCCGCTCGCATAAGAAAAATGTTCTTCATTCGGTTTCATTGCGGATTCCTATTTAAAAATGCACAAATCAAAAGAGTACCGGGCGAAATTTTCGGGAAAAAGTTTTTTAAATAGTTTTGTTAAACAAATTCCAAAAAACACCTTTTTTGGCCCCAAAAACATTTTTTTTATTTTTGGACCATTTTAAACAAAAAAGGCATTGTATTATTTTCCTCCCAAATTGTCTGTTTTCGTGTTACAAGCGATTTAAAACGTGAAAAATACGAAAATAAGCATTTTCGAGAGTTGAAAACTCATACGCCCAAATTAATATTTTTGATGTTGACTAAATTCAATTTTAAACATTCAGTTTTTGATTTAGAAGAGTAATCAGGGCCTGTCTTAGATTAACGAAACGGTTTCGTTAATCTAAGGGGCCTGTTTCAATTTAGACTGTTGTTTGATAATTGTTAATTATGCGCGTCACTGGACTTTTAAGCCACCCTGAACACATATGGTGCGTTTCTGTCGCACATATACGTATGTACGTGAAAAATTGGCAACAACTACTTGACATAATATATTAAAATTTTGTAATATAATTCCTTTTTATATGAACTATAATTTTCACGTTTTTTAATTTACGGCAAAAATCAATTGTAAAAAGTGTTAATAATAATAAAAACTGATTCCAATCTAAAAACAGGACACCCAATTTTGGAATACCCAATCGAAAAAAGAAAAAAAAAATACTAACCATTATTTGAATCAACGAATCGTATACTGTAAACACAATTCCTAGACAAAGTCATGTACATGTGTCTCGCATAGTTGTTGATATAAAAGCCGATGATCTTCTAAAATTCTTGGTTAGGACGGTACCCGATATTACTTTTAACTGCGTGAAATGGCATAGAACTGACAAATACTCTACATACTTATAAGGTATCTCTCTCTTTTGATAAAATCGACGAACTATACAGTCCTAATACTTGGCTAAAAGAAGCTGCAGGAGATTTAACTTTAAAAGAAATTTTCAGCACATAGAGAAGAAGAAAGAAACTTCTACAATTTTTTATCAAAATAGACGAATTCTAAATAGTATAACTAATTAAAATTTCTATGACGTCATATGTTTTTTCGATCACTGGCAAAGTAAAGAAAATTTAAAATTAGTTAACATCTCCGGTTTTTCATTAACTAATTTCTTTTGTAGGGTAAAAAGAAAACGAGAGAGATTTGCAGTTTATGTAAAAGAAAATCTTATGTATTCTTCTCTTAATCTAAATGAATATAGTGTAGAGCAAAGTTCAGAGTTTTGTGCAATATATGTACTTTCAATAAAAACCAATATTTTAAGTGTATACAGATCGGGTAAGGGTGATTTTGACTTTGTTTTTGGTGAATTTTGAAAATGTCATAATGTTCTTACCTATCAAAGCAGACAAACTTATCATACAGTGGAACCTCGATTATCCGTCTGTCTATTAACCATTACCTCTGTTAATAGTAAATGTTCCTATATAAGTTAATTAGCTACATAAGTAAAAATTTAGTCATCAGCTCATTTTGTTTGAGCACTGCGATAAGCCAAACGAAATTCGTTAAAATGTAAATAATTTTTGTTCTTATTTATGGCTCTGGATTAAATTTCAATTTAAATAAGTAATGATAAATGATACCGTGCTTTTAGAGTTCTATTTTTAGAATCGCAAGCCGAAATACCTAAACCAAACTACGCAAAAAAATGTAATGACTTTCGATTAATAAGTCTCATGTCCCATATTCTGAAGCTATTTCTAAAAATTATCCATAACAGAATTTACAAAAAATGCGAAGAAAATATGGGTCCGGAATAATTTGGCTTTCGAAATGGTATGGGAACTCGAGAAGCTTTGTTCAGTTACATTGTTCTCATGCAAAAGTGCCGGGATCAACAAAAAGATATCTACTTGTGCTTTATAGATTATGAAAAGACTTTGGACAAAGTTAAACACGATCAGCTAATAGTATGCTTGCAAAAAAGAACCTGGATCCAAACGACATTAATACAATACGTGAACTCTACTGAAACCAAAACGCTTCTGTCAGAACTGAAATGGGTGATACTGAAACCATAAACATCCAAAGAGGAGTTAGACAAGGTTGTATACTATCACCATTATTATTATTGTACTCAGAGGACATCTTTAGAGCACATGCTCTAGATGAAGCACTAGAAGGAATAAAAGTCTATGGAAAAATCGTGAACAATATCAGGTATGCCGATGATACAGTACCAATTACTGGCTGTGAAGAAGAACTACAAATTCTGTTAACCAAAAAGTGCGAGAAGGAGAACTATACGGCCTTAAGGTGAATGCAAAAAAACCAAAACAATGATAATTAAAAAAAAACACACACCAGTTATAAACATACTAGTCAACAACAATCTAGTTGAACAAGTGAAAAAGTTTAAGTATCTAGGCTGTTGGATACATGAAACCTTATACCAAGAACAAAAGGTTAAATGTAGAATAGAACAGGCAAGAAACACCTTCTTAAAAATGCGACAGTTACTCACTACCCGTAATCTTGATTTGTCCCTACGATACCGCATGATAAAGTGTTATGTATATAGTGTACTATTACACGGCGTGGAAGCTTGGACGTTAACAGTCAGCTCGTTACGACGTTTAGAGAGCTTTGAGATGTGGGTATTTCGACGTATGCTGAAAATTCCATGGACCGACCGCTAGAAATGAAGAAGTTTTAAGGCGTATGAATAGAGAACGTGAACTCACAGAAATTGTCAAGAAGCGTAAAACGTCTTATCTTGGACACATATTTAGACACGACAGGTATAACTTCCTTCAGCTTATTATAGAAGGGAAAATAGAAGGCAGACGCGGCCCGGGTAGACGACAAATGACCTGGCTGCGCAACATCAAAGATTGGACA